AACATATTGAAGCCTGTCCAACACTCTCAATTTGATGGATGAAAACATATAATGTGTTCCACATTATTTTATGAATTTTGGCTGTACACTTTTACACAGTATGATTTCACAGAGTATATAAGAAGACATACAAAATATTTTTACTGATACTCCAGATATTTTTTACTGACCCAGGGTTGCTATGCAAGCAGTGACTCAGTGTTAGGGCGTAATTAATGTTCTGTCTTTTCTGACATGCTTTCATATGGGTCTGCAAAAGGTAATTTTCAGTCTTACTGCCAAACACATTTTGATGTGAATTTGCAGAGTAAGTCAAAATATATCTATATATTTTTTATCATCAGGTGAGGTTTGGTCTTGGATTCTGACGATATGAAATCCTTGAAGAAAAATGCTCCAATTTTGTGATGTTACAGTACATTTTAAATGCATTTTTTATGATTTTGTGGCAATATCTTCTTTTATAAGAACAAACAGGAAGAAGTAGATGGCTCAGAATATCAGTGAAGACTGCAGCTTTACCACTGAGCAGAAAAATAACGTAAAATATGGTTACATTATGTTGTAAACATATTGTAAACATACGTCTACGTCAAACATTTAATATTACAAATTTATATATTTTTTATCACAGCTGAATACATAATGGAGGCTTGCTGATCTTAATCCCTCCTGTTCCATTTGGCCTTTAATGAAACAAAAAAATCTTTATGTACCTTGAAGTGCTTTGTGAAAGGGGCCACTAATTTATTCCTTCAAGTTGTAAAAAATTTATTCCATACAGTATTACTGTGTGGGCAACAGGGGATTCTCTAGTGGCAAAGTTGACTTTCTGGGTTTTTACAACCAGAAGATATTCAACTCTATAAATGTCCTTTATGCTGTTGTCTTACATTTATGATTGATGGCTTGCACCAAAATGCTGGAGAGAAATAGAACTGCTCTGTTCCAAAATATGTAGTATTTCACTTTTACTAAAAGAGTTTAAAATGAACGAATACACTACGTCAATCATTTTTGCAATGTCGAAACCATTATTTTATTTTGTTTTATTTTATTTGCAATGCCATGGTATTCTCTAGAACCAGAAACCAGCCAATTCCTAGTAATTATTTGATCTTGCTATGTGATTATGTCATCAGGAAACCTCAGAGTTCAAAGCACTACACCTGGTGAATTATTGAAGGGACTTCACTTTAGATTTGGGTTGCTCAGTTAAAGTTGCACTGTTAAAATGTCCTATTGAGCCATTCTATTAATGACCTCAAATGCTATTTAAATTTTAAATACTTATACCCTCCTGTGAATTTTTAGCACATATAGACAATTCCGAAATTCACCATTGTCATTAGAATACCTGAATTTTAATTACATTTTTGTTGCGTCATGCATAATCTTTTTCTAAGCAAGCCTATTTAGAAATTATTTAAGAGCACTGAGTTTCTTGGCAATGACCAAAGGATAATAATGCTTCATTTCCTTCCATTAAGTGCCATTGTTCACTGCATCAGCACACAAGCTAGAATGTGAAAGCATACACAAGCAAAATATAGATGAAAGATAACACACGTAGGTGAACAAACAAAGTTAGACAGCACTCACACACTCAGTGAAACAGCTGTGCCTTTAGAATTATTCTGCTTCACTTGTTAAGACAGATATACCTGAGAAAACCACCTTCTACTCACACACAAATTATCACACTTGGATGCACAGAAAAACTATTGTCAGTTTGTGGTTCACTCTGTTTTATGACTTCAAGCTTCCTGTAGAGTTTTTAACAACCCTTGCATTACAGTCACAAGCATATTCATGTTTTCAGTTGTAAGTTTATCAAAAATCATTGGCTATAAAGCCATATCAAAGGCATTTTTAGCTTTTCAGGGTGCTATTTTGACATAAAGTGTTCCAATCCCAAAACCTTTACAATTTTGAGAATAAAAGGAAGCCGTGCTACTTAAAATTGCGGTATGTACATTTTTAAATATATATATTTTGTACATATTTGTTGAAACTGTCACTATGTCGTGACAGGATGGTATGAGACGGATAACCTATGAAAAAAAAAGAATAGCTCCTCTGTCTTCCTACAGTGCGATCTGGAAACAACAAATAATTTCCAGGAGGCGGGTCTTAGCACTGTCAATCACCTCTCCATTAAGGCTGGGCGATGGATGGCATATACAGTTCTCCTTAAAAGAAGCAAAAATGCATGTTTTAGGACCGGAAAAGTCCTAATAGGATTACAAAAAATCCCCAACGTTTGAGCCTATTAGAAAACAAAGTTCTTGAACCCCCTTGTAGAGAGAAAATCACATCAACTCATCATTGTATGTTAATGCCCCCGGTCATTTGTTGTTAGCCAGTAGTTTTGCATGTTTTTCCCATTAGTTGGAGCTCTTTTGGAAAGACTACGCTTTGCTTGAGGGTGCAACAACAAATGTACACTGGGACAGTTAAATACTTTATACAAGCAGTCTGATTGGGCTGCGCCTTCAATGTTGCTTTATACAAAATACATTGTTTTGTTTGCATAAGACTGTGGGCTGTTTTTTGTAAATGAAAAGGTACGCTGAAACAGAAATGCAGATTTTAGAGAGCTATACAATGACCTCATTGCCATTCCCGTCATGATCGTAGTTAATCCCTCAGACCGTCTCCTATCCTTAGACATGATCTGAACATTTCCCGGCCATTTTTATTTTGACAAAGCACAGCAAAGGCTTAGTTGTGCATGGACGATTCTGGCTCGCTGAAATGGTTTTTACACTCCTTATCACCCACAAAAAGGTTTTTTCGTTACTGTACTGTGATTTGAAATGTGATGGCCTTCCATGCAACGTATTACACGCTCACAGATCATCTCAGGTCCCTGCAGTAATAAACAAGGGTCGTCTCTTGTGAAGACCATCACTTTTTTTTTGCTCTGAGGATATCTGAGCACAGCAGAGATGTGCCATTATCCATGCTGCCAGGGATATGATCTACATCTAATAAATAATGAACAAGCAGTGAATAATGGAATGCCAGTATTGCAGCATTTTAGAGTGCAAAGCAGATTGATGAACTGATGCTGTATGCATGCTACCATAGCCACACAGGTGTAAGTCAGGCATTCAGCTCTCGGTGTTCAGCAGCAGAGGGGTGTGAATGCAGGGTGTAACTTCCAGAAATGACGTGTTTAACTGTAAATGAGGGTGACGATGCTGCCGCGGGAAAAAAAAAAAAAAATTACATCAATGGTCTTTAAGTTTCAAGATTTATTTTGTTCCACTAACATATCGTACACATATCACCTTTAGTGTTGCTGTGATTCTACTACTTTTTAGAAATATGTTTTCCTCTTGCTTTTTTTTTTTTTTTAAACAATAAAAGGCATATACTGGCTCAAGTCATCACCTTTTTCCTGTTCCAACATTTTTTATCTAGCAGTGTAAACATATTAGCATATTATTATTTTTTGATAAATATTTAATTTTATTTCTCATATTGTGGCATATTTGGATTCCTCCTGCAGAGTCCAAAGATCTGATCGCAGAATCTGTTTCATCACTGTCCAATGTTTTTGCTTTTGTTTCCATTCCATATTTTAAGACGGAAAAAAAAATGCTGCGCAAATGGGGAACCATGAAAATCATTGTATCATAAATCTGCAGTACTTTTTCTTTCACTTCATCTAAAAGTATGTTTTTACCTTTTGTCTAAAGGAGTTTTAAGTGCCTGTTTGTGTGGTAGATGTGGAGCCTAAGGCAGTAATTGACTATACTTCTGTAAATAAACTTAATATCTGTGAAGATAAAAGAGAGACAATCTTTTTCTACCTTTTTGTTTGGTTTCTTGATTTCTTGTAGCTTTTCAAAAAACCAATTCACATTAATTCTGGAATCAAATACAAAAGTGACTGAGGGTCCACAAAAAGAACTGAGAAGAATACATTTGTTTTTAATATTTTCGTATTATTATTATTATTATTATTTTAAGAGAGAAACACTGTCTTTCTTGCATATCAAATTTCTCTGTTAACATGCTTTGTTCATGGAACAAGGGATTTAAGAATGGAATAATCAGATTTGTTTTTCAGTTGCTGTTTTGAAAAGGAACCTATAATCAGAGGTCTATTGGAAGTCGAAAAACTGGAAAGTTAAAAAAAAGAAACAAAATGGTCCCAATAAGACTGAACACCGCAAATTTATTCCTGTTCCAATGTAAAATGAAACTTAAGAACCTCATGCTGCTTTAAATAAGTATACATTATGTAGCCTATTCCCATGCTATGCATCCTATTTTTGTTTTTGTTTTGATTTCCATGACTTGTCAAGAAAAAATAGAGTCAGCCTGTTCAAATCGGATAGCTTTGTTTGGAAATACTTATTATTTCAGTGTAAATCAAAACTACAAGCCTCATCACTAAAAACGTTTATTAAATATTACCCACCGTAACTTTATTTCTGCAATTCTTTGTAGTGATGGTGTAAAATTGAACATTTATACTGAGACAATTTTTACTGCTTAGTGGTTACATGGAATGGACTTGGTTTGTTTTGAAGGTTGGCTTTTGGTTTTACTTAGACGGCTATGTGGCATTTGTGTCAGTTTTATGTAACTGTGACACGCAATTATCAGACTAGATTTTTTTTTATGACTTTTATTCAGATTAGAATGACAAAGTAATCTTGAGCCTTTTAATTGGCTTGACACCATCTATGCAGTTTGGGCCAATGTTACTCTAATAAAGCACACAGGTCTTATTACTTAGGGTTCAGTTAAAGTGGTGCTTGTTTATGAAGCCCTCATCCAGTCCTTCAGTTTCCATTCTCCAGAGGGATATGATCATTAAAAGCTCATATTGCTTGAAACTATACAGGTTGAAAATATGATGGCAAAAATAAATTCTTATTAGCTTTTATCTTTTCTTTGCTATTTGATATTTAATTTGCGTTCAGTGTGTTGTTGTTTTGTAACCATTTCTATGCCTGTTTTCTTGCTTTTCATCGTTTCAGGTAATAAAGCTGTCATTCGACGAGTTCGATCTGGAGAGAGGCTATGACACGCTGACTGTGGGAGACGGTGGAAAGATAGGAGACACTCGGAGGGTACTCTATGTGTAAGCACCAGTAATAATTTCTCATCTGTACCAGTACAGAACAAGTTATAGGCAATCATAAAGAAAACTGTAGACGGAGGAGCGGTAGACTGTTCTGCAGGCATTTCTTTCAAATCTTAAACTGCAAATTGCTAATATGTTTGAATCTCCTGCATAATTCACCAAAGTAAAATGGATAAAAAGATTATTTTACTGATGTATAGGTAATGCTTTGTCTTTGTAGACTCACTGGTGCCAGCGTCCCTGATCTTATCGTGAGCTTGTCGAATCAGATGTGGCTACACCTGCAGTCAGACGACACAATCGGCTCTGCGGGGTTCAAGGCAATCTATGAAGGTAGGGATTCTTTCTAAGGATTTCAAGACTTCTCATCACACCTTTTTTTTTTCTTTTTTTACTCTGAATCATGCACACACATATGCAGTAACATATCACAGCATTCGAGGGAAGCAGTTCATATGCAGCAAAGTATGGTTTAAAATGAAAAAAGGTGTCATAGTAAAGCTTAAAGTGAAGGGAGAGGCATATATTACATACAATAGGTTTCCACAAAGATTGCCTCTGTGTGGATAACAGCAGAATATGTTTCTATATGCTTTGATAAATACAACATGACAACCAGTTTAGCTACATGAAACATTTACAGTCATCTTTCTTAAAGACCAACACATCCTTACAAACTAGCCTGTATCTAAAATACCAGTCGTTTTTTTTCAGTCTTAACCCATTACTGTGCCACTTGAAAACAGTAACCTCGATGTCATAAGCGACGTTCATATGTGTGAGAGAAATTATTTTCCTTAATGTCGTAACTGTTCACTTTAAATGTCATCTAAGCATAATGCCTTTTACTTTAGTTTCCATGAAAGTAAATTTCCTGGGGGCGGGGAGTGTGTGTGTGTGTGTGTGTGTGTGTGTGTGTGTGTGTGTGGGGGTGTGTGTGTGTGTGTGTGTGTGTGTGTGTGTGTGTGTGCGTGTGCGTGCGTGCATGTGTGTGTCCGCGTGCGTGCGTGCGTGCGTGCGTGGGTGTGTGTGTGCGTGTGTGTGTGTTATTCCTTGTGCCTTTAAGCGATGTCCTTTGTGACGATATTTACAGACATTTTTTAAAACAGTCTTCAGTTTTTGTTGTTAATTTTTATGGTAATGCAGTTCCAGTATTACAATATTAATATTAAATATCCATATTCCCAAGTATGTTAAAAAAATATACAAACTTTTTTGGGTGTTTTGTTTTTGCGGCTGTTGTTGTGGGTTCAGTCTTTTACAATTTGTTTTAGTTCAGACTTCCCTTTGCCATGTAGTGTGACATAGAAACCATGACAGAAGCAGAGGAGGAACAAAATGGAAGAAATTTGTGCTGTGTGTTTGTTTAGGTGTGTTTACTGCAGTGATGTTATTGAAACTCCAAGATTGGAAACACTTAGGAACATGTAGATGTAAAGATGTAAAGAATGTGGATCTTTATCCCAACATAAAGTCACAATGACCATAATTTGGCTCCGTAAGTGACATTTCTTTTTTTTTTTTTTTACTGGGCTTAAAGAATCTGGTTTGCAGTGAGTAAAACCTTAGCTGTAGCTTTCTGGTTAAAATGCTTTAGTGGCAACAATGAAATAAAATGTGTTCCATGAGCGCCATCAAGTTTATTTCTGAGTAGCTAAGAAAAGAAATCATGATAAAATTATGCTTTAATAAATGGGTTACCAAGACAACAAAGAGTTGAAGACTAACCACGGCTTTGTGCTTTTCGAGGTGTCATCCGAGCTTTTTCACCTTTAAATTTGGCTTAGTTGTAAAAAAAAAGTGACCAGACAGATCAAGCGCAAGTCAAGTATTTGAAACAAAAAAGAATATTGAAATGTGAAGTGAAAATAAGCAGTACTAAATGATCTCCTGCAGAAGCTTCAGCTGTATATTTTTTCCCCTCATCACAGCCCGACATCTGCCTGTGGTGTTTTTATGACTGTTCTTGCATGGGTATATGCGATGCTGTCAAATGCAATAACGTCACCGTGTTATGCACTTTGATCAGCCTTACCCTCCTGAGTTGTCTTAGATTTTCAGCCCAAATCTGTGTCCGTTTTTTTCTTTTTAAATGGCATCAGGCTCTGCTTCTTTTTCAGCGAAGCTGGGGGTGTTTGTGTGCACCATGTGGAATATTATTAGAGCTGAAACATTAGACAAATCTGCACTAATATATTAATTAAAGCTTTTTTTATATTTTGCTGCAAACATTTTGACCAGAGCCATTTGCTTTGAAAAAAAAAATAAAAAATAATAATAATAACATTGCAAAAAATGCATTTATATTTCTATCCTTCCACAGGACAATAGATTTGATCAAATATTGTTAAAACTGGTATCTTACAACACTATCGGTTTTGCACATAACCATTCTGGTTTTATCTAATATCTTATGAGCATTGTTGCTGAACAAAAACACGAGTCATCATGGTTAAGCAAATGTGTTTACCTCAGTGTGCTAAATACGAGTGAAATTAGTTTTTTAATTTATTTATTTATTTATTTAAAAAAAATAAAAACAATGTGGCAATTAACTGCCATTGGGTGATACGAGTTTGATTTAGTCAGAAAAGCTGTAAACTCCAAATAATCACCTGCACAAAAACACATTTCTCTTGTCTGAAGTCAACTGAGGTAACGTTCTTTTCAATGAATCCAAAAATGTATCCATTTACATTGTATAATAAGACGATGTGTCTTCTGGCAAATCTGATTTTATGATTATCTTTTTCTTTATTTTAATCTGTAATTAGCATCTTTACTCTGTGGTGTGAACTGTGCAAGTTTTGAAACAAGAAAAAAGGGAGGATGAATGATGCATCAGAAAGAGTGAGGCACTTAACAGCATAATGACAGACTTATCTTTGGGCTTAGGATCGTTGAAATCCATCCTGACACTTGTCATCTGTGTGACAGAAAGCTGTGGGCCGCAGATACATTTGAGGCTTTTATAATATTCTCTTCCTGTGGGCGCTCTTGCATCCCAGCTGAGTTCAAAAGTGGAAAACTCGCATGCAAATACAAATGCATAACTTATATTGAGATGCTTGTCCAAAGCAGATCCAGGGGGTCAGTGGAGAAGAGAAGAATGTCACAAAATTTTTCTCTTCTAAATGTCTTCCTTGTTGCAAAAACCTGTGCCTGTGTGTGTCTGTGAGAATGCTTGTGTGTGTGCGCGTGTGTGTGTGTGTGTGTATGTTTGCACTTATTGTTTTGTCTTTCACAATTAAAACAAAATTGCACTGCAATTACCCTGATGGCAATTAACTGTAAGAAGGGAAGCAATTAAATAAATTTCTCACAGATTGCCACTACATCACTGCACAGCTGAATAATATTGAAGACTCATCTTGATATAATATGTTATTGCAATTCCGAGATCTTATAGAAATGTTTGCATTAAGACAATATACTTGATATCGAAACTAAAATAAATACAAATATCTTACAGTGCCTTGTAAAAGTAGTATTACACCTTCAAATTTTCACTTTTCACAATTTTACGGCCTAAAAACATTAGTAGATTTTAATGTGAGGTGGAATGATAATTATTCACGTTTTTTTTACTATCAAAAAAGACCAGGGGTGGAATGAATTTATACTCTTTCCCTCCAAGTTAAAAATTTGTGAAACCTCCTGTTTGCCGTGTTTGTAGCTGAAAGTTTTTTGGAGTTTGTGTCTACGAACTTTAGAAATCTAGACACCGACATGTTTGTCTTTTCGCCTGCAACCTCAGTCAGATTAAATTTAGAGCATTTAACAATAAATTTGAAGTCTTGCAACAGATTATCAATTGGATTTAAGTACGGGCTTCAAATAAGTTATCCTATGCATGTGTGTGCTTTGATATAAGACATTCATTTGTATTTCTTACTGTTTATGGTCATCATCTCACACATAAATTGCTATTGTTGTTTTTATTTGATTTAAAATGATTTAATTGGTGCGTAAATAAAATAGATATAGATGGATATTTTTTTATATTTAATGGTGCGGAAGAGCATTTTGTTTCTGCCAATCAACTCAGGCCTATTTTTTTTAATTATACTTCTAAATTACAAATAGTCCTAAAATATTATTAATGCACACAACACTTGTAGTAAAGAACATACTTTTTCCATTTTCTTTACATAATGGCTTGAATGATGAAACTCTGCTTTGTTCCTTTGTCCCTGACCCGTCTGCTGTCTTCTACGGATCCTGTTTTCTCACTAATGTTCTCTAAACCACCTCTGAGACCTCCACAGAACCGTTTACATATATTACAGATTATAATCAAATTAAATGATCAACAGTTGTAGGGGTATCTGGTCCTGGTCCAATCTGGTGATTTCAGACGACAGATGGTTTCACTGGATTTTTCTTTAGGGGGAATGAAACTGCAGTGAATAACTGACTACAAACTTGTTTTATTTTTATTTGCAACTTATAAAATGAAACTAGGAAATGAAACAGATTCAGCTTCACAGTTTGGCTGTAAATTCTTAGTATTTCACATAAAATCTTTGTGGTTGTAAAATGGCAAAATGCAATGAAGTTTATGGGCTATTTATTTTTGCCGTCCTTATTGTGCTACCTGTTTAAAAGATAGAAATATGCTTTATTTTTATTTTTTTTTATTTTGCTATCTGACTTGGTGCCCGGAGTTTTCAGGACTGAAAAATTCCATATTTGTTTCAGAAATCAACAGAGGAGGTTGCGGTGATCCCGGAGTGCCTGCGTTTGGTCGTCGTAGCGGCGATCGTTTTCAGCACGGTGACGTCTTGACCTTCTTTTGCCAGTCGGCTTTTGAGCTGGTGGGAGAAAAAACCATCACGTGCCAACACAATAACCAGTGGTCTGGAAACAAACCCAGTTGTGTGTGTAAGTAAACACATTTTTATAAGGCCTGTACCGATTTGTACCTTTATGTTTACTCGTCTCTGTGAACTTGCTTGCATTGTCAAAAATGTATCTTTTTTTTTTCCCCCACTTCTCTTTTTGTAGTTTCTTGCTTCTTCAACTTCACGGCTCCATCAGGGACCGTGTTGTCCCCAAACTACCCAGAGGAGTACGGTAACAACCTGAACTGTGTGTGGTTGATTATCTCTGAGCCGGGCAGTCGAATACATCTCTTCTTCTCTGACTTTGACCTGGAGCCACAATTTGATTGGCTGGTAGTTAAAGATGAAGGTAATTATCTCCTAATAACGATATGCATTTTTCTCATTTAACTGCTACAGTTTCATAATCAGTTTAAAGATTTTAAATTTAGGCCTCCAGTTAAGTTTTGATGAGTTACAGGTGAAACATAAATGGCCATGTAAAAAAAAATAAATAAAATAAAATTAAAACATATTTAAGTGATCACCTTTTTCATCTTGTATTTCCGAGCAGGCGATGTAAACTGCAGACTGGGTTTACGTTAAAAAAAATGACTGGTCAATTACCCGAACTGAAAGATAATTGCTATTTTATGTTTTATTTCATCACATTGATCATTTTTTTCACCTCATGTAAAGCACAGAGCAATTATATTGTTGTTCCACATTTCAGAGTTATTGATTTGGCAGGTTTGAGTTAAGCTCCTGCTTGACTGGCAGGGTGAAGTTGTGTTTAATTGACTGACTGTAAAATCTCTGCATCTTTAGGGATTTTTCTTTCTTTCTTTCTTTGCTCCCTTCTTTCCTTGTGTGTTTCTTTGTTTCTCTCTTTCCTTCTGACTTTCTCTCAGCTTGTTGTCACTGCTAATGTATGACTGATCTCTGTGTCACATGCAGATTTTGGACAAAACCTGTCAATAATTGGAATGATATGAAATCGTATCAATACTGATTGCATTTTTTTACATTTTCTTAAATAGATAATACTTACATTTTAAGTTTATTATTTACATTTTTAATTAGGCCTTTTTTTAAGTTTTAAAACGTAAGCATATCTGGAAATATAAATGGTTCAAACAAGACATTAAAAGCATTTAGTAGTCCAGTATTAGAAGCTAGTTTGACTTGACTTTGGTCATTGACCTGAGGCAACATTTGATGGATAAGCCTCATTAAATAGTTCCTGATTAGTTTGCTTTTTGTGGGGTTTGAGTATTGATTTACATTTAAATGGTGCACTAAAGGAGGACAGATGGGATATTGTATTTTAAACAAACAAAATAGGGGGGGATTGGGACTAGTGTTAGAGCGAGGGGTGGGGACGTAATTATGTTATAAAACAGGAAATGTACGAGAAAATACTAAAACAAGAACACGGTGGGAAAGAGGGGTAAAATATGGTAGGTTCCCAGCCAAAACGGGAGACTTGATAGGTATGTAATGCATCTGTAGGTACTCATCCAGCAAGAAACTACAGACTACAGGACTGGGAGAAGACAGTTTAGGGTTTTTAAATGTATTTATTGTTAAATTGCCTATATGTGTTGTTTTATGAGCATGCAACTACAACTTAACAGAAGTGTAGTAGTAACCTGTTTGAGTATTGCCCATGGCAGCTTAGCCCAGGGATATGCCAGAAGAGTTTTAGATGTGTTTACTTTACGCTCCTAATTTAACCGTACCACAGAGACTAATTCAATATTCTACACTAATTTTAGATTTTTGCATATCCGTTCAGCAGTCATTACTTAAACAGTCCTATTATATGTAGTCAAATGTTTTTTTTTTTTGTTTTTTTTTTGTTCCCTTTTCCAGAGGCAGGCATGAGGTCACTTAAGGTCAATTGCAATTCTGTTCAGGTGTTACTGATTAGGAGCAAAAGGTTTTCTACTGTAATTAGTCTTTAGCAGGGTTGCCCAAAATCAGTCCTTAAGGGCGGCCGTCCTGCATGTTTGAGTTCTCTCCCTCGTGGTCGTTAGGACTTTCTCAGCATGTCGGTGTTCTGCAGTGTTCTGCTAACAAGCCATTGTTTGATCCAGGTGTGATTAACCAGGGAGAGAACTAAAACATGCAGGATGCCGGCCCTTAAGGACCGACTTCGGTCACCCCCTAAAGATACCTGCTTTTTTTTTTTTTTTTTTTTTTTTGTTTTTTTTTTTTTTTTTTTTTTTTTTAAAAATTAAAAAAAAAAAAAAAAAAAAAATTTTAAAAAA